ACATTTAGGATTTTTTTCAATAAAAAGTAGAAACGTAATAATAATACTTTAATTAGTTAATGGTTAGGACGAGTTCAGGGTGACACTGAAGGGATAGTGTTACGTGGTTAAGGATCTGTGCCTGAAGTCCTACTGTTAGATTTTTGCAATTGTAACTCAGAATAGCAAACCTATTAATTGCACACAGTGAACAAATACAAAAAAGAACAATGCGATTAGGCCATAAGACTTAGTAAATATAAGCAAGTCAAAATGTTTTTGTGCTTCTTCAATTATGTGAAATCTGTGTTGATCTGGTGTAGGCATAAAAGTTCTCGGGCTGCATTTGTACTCTAGATATTACCGCAATATGTGCTTGAGTATGGAATAGGAGGCCAGTGAAGTTACACTAACCAATTTTATTTTCAACTATTTGAAGTGAGGAAAGAGGAGCATGGAAACTGGGATACGTAAATGAGGAAAAATAAAACTAAACTTTTGAGAAATAAATGAGATCTTCAATTTACTTTTATCTATAAATCCAAATATGGAAGGAGTGTTTGATTAGTGTTTTTCTTTAACTTCTTCATGACTCTTTATGATAATCAGAGCTCCCCTCATTATAGGTACAAGGGTACAGAATGCGATTACACTTTGATGGTTATCCAGAGTGCTATGACTTCTGGGTTAATGCTGATTCCTCAGACATCCATCCTGTTGGCTGGTGTGAAAAAACAAGTCATAAGCTGCTCCCTCCTAAAGGTATGGGGAAAAAAATAGAACGGTGTACAAGAAACCATAAATTCTTCTAAGAACTAGTTGTCCTGGCTCTGCATGTTTCATTTTTAGTGTGATTTCATTGTGGAACACGATCTGAGTGGCTTAAAGGGAAGAGTTGTAAGAAAGATACAAAAAGAACAAAACAGCTTCCTTTTGATATTCCCAAAGATTGACATTGTTCGTCAAATTAGAAACTCTTCATTGGATGAGCGTGTAAAGCAAGGAGTCTCTTTGGGGTTCAGAACTTGCTTCTTTCCTGCATTTAATTTCCTAGAAGCATTTGAAGGTTGAGATTAGTGATTGGACATTATACTGAAAAAGAGAGAGATTTTTTAGCTGAAGTGCATAACCCCTGAAGATTGTAGAAGGGCAGATACCATGCAAAGTTCATATTCTTCCCAGGTAATTTCCATTTCTGAAAAACCAATCTGAAGGTAACGGGGCTGTGTAAAACAATCTTTTTATCTCTCTTTCTAGGTTTCAAGGAGGGAGAATTTAATTGGACTTCCTATTTGAAGAATTGCAAAGCTCAAGCAGCTCCAAAAAGCCTTTTTAAGACTCTCGGCACTGTAAGTGGTGATATTGGATACGAGATGTTTCAGATAGGTCTGATGCTAAGTGAGTTTTGACCAGAATATTTACGTGGTTTTAATATGCTCATGTCAGAGGTACAACCATGGTACAATCAGATGCAAGCTACTTCCTGCTGTGATTTATTTTTAAGATGGGAAACTAGTACAATTTTTCTTCTTTCCCCTAGTCACTGACTTTCCAGAGAGAGAATTTGTATTTCCCTTCGTCCTTAGTACTGGAAGAAAAGATTTACTCTACCATTTATGAAATATATTACAACAGTCTGTTTTGCTCTGTCCCCACAGTCAAGATATTTGTGTCACTTTCCTCTAATTTAATCATTTCCAAAATAATTTCTGGTTTCCAGCAGCATACTCATGTGCACCATGGGATTCATTATGAGGCTACGAATCTTGAGCATTTTTCATCCTTCACCCACTCTTGCTTTCTTTTTGGTTGTTAGCCTCAGTTCCTGTATAACACTCCCATTTTGTGTCACTCAGATGACATAAAGTCCATGGGTCTGGCAGATTTGATGCTGCAGATGGACAGAGCGCTGACTTCAGGAGGATCAGGGCCTGACTGCAGTTCGGCTCTGCTTCCCACTGAGTCACCTGTTTTCCTTGAAGACTCTAACTTTTCCACTAATTACATGAGACCTACAGTACTCACACTTGTCCTCAGCCAATACTCGTCACTACAAGGCGTGTGCATCTTAGCCTTCAAGTCTGTAGTGATGTTGTGTACCTGGAGATTCTGTTGTCAAGCTATGTCAGCTCTTTTTTAGAAATAGTAACAATCATTGCCAGAACACATGGAAATATTGTCTGTAGACCTCTTGCTAGTATCTATAGTGTGTTTTGGTCTGTGGGTTTCGGGGTTACAACTTGCAACAAATGACTTTATAAGGGTAATTTAAATGGTCTGACCTAGAACGTGGCTGATTTCCCTTTCCTGATGTCCTGTTCCTCAGCCTGTCACACCCTCTGGTTTTCGTCTGGGAATGAAACTAGAGGCAGTGGACAAGAAGAATCCGTCGCTGATGTGTGTCGCAACAGTCATGGACATGGTGGATAACCGCCTGCTAATTCATTTCGATAACTGGGATGAGAGTTATGACTACTGGTAAAGAGATTCTATTTCTAATATATATCTACAAGTAGACTGTGGTTTATCTCACTCTTCCACTACAGGTAATATCTAATATTTTAATTGTAGTCACTGAAGTTGGGATCTTAAATCAGTTTTCTAGCATCTGAATAATTACTTTGGGTTTTTACCCTGCTGTTTTACCCTGCTGTTTGAGCGCTTATCGGTTGGCTCAGTGCAAAACCAGTGGGGTTAGCTTGAACTGCCCGTGAAGTGTTCGAGGTAATGCAGCTGGCTGACTTGAGTCAGGTCAGGGAATGTTATCTGTTCTTCTGGCAGAGCTAAAGGAAGAGTAAGCTCCACTAGTGACACCACCTGGGATTAGTAACATCCTCTCCTCCAGGACTAGTAGTGGGTGTCAGCATGCCTCTCTGCAAACTGGAATTTTGGAAGCAGGCAGGACTGAAGTCAGTAAAATTCTTTTCTATTTGCTTCAGCAGAGTTTGGCTAAGGCCCTTTGAAAATAAAAATGATTGCCAGCATTTAGGGTTTTAAGTCCTGACCTGCACTGCAGTTGTTCTGGTTCTGAGAATCTTGATCCCCTGCCCTCATGCTGGGGCCAGGTGGAATATTAGTCAAGGAAATGTTTTCCCTTTTTGGTCTGTGTTTTCCAACCTACGTGAATGGATCGAATTCACCTGTGAAAGCAACACAAAGCACATGCTTGTCAAGATAGCACCAGTTCCATCAGTGTTCTGTGTTCTCTCCCCCATCTCCTTTTGTTTGTTTGTTTTCAGAATAGGCACCTGTTTGGTGACAAGTTGGTCTTTTCTTTCCGTTCATAAATGCATTGTGCAGAGCTATGTAACACCAGTGTTTCCATTTGCAGGACTTCAGATCTTGTTCCTTTACCATTTTAGCCTGTGAAGCTTTTTTTCCACGCCGTGTTTTGTTTGGAATTTGAAAATTTTAATGGGAAACACAAGCAAACAAAACTTCAAAGTACAGGTTGGCTGAAGACACATAGATTTTTTCCTAGATCTGAAGGACTGCTTTGGTCCTTTCCTTGGAGCAGGTGTGACTAAAGGGCCTGTCTCACATTGGCCCATCGCCTCCTTCAGGGACCAGAAGATCTAAACATGCAATAAAATTGGGAGCCAGGCAAACTACCACTAGGTTTCAGCTAGAATGAATGGATAACGGGCAGTTCTTGGCAAAGGCCTTAAAAAGTAATTTCCCCTTCTTCCACAGTAGTGGTATTTCAGTTAGGGATGAGGGTTTGCTTTTTGTTTCTTTGCTTTTTAGCTTGGATGATCTGTGTCCAGGCTGAACTGTGGTTGGTGTGGTCCATGTAGGGGGAGCTTTTTGTTGGGTTTGTTTTTTTTTTTTAAAGCACCAGTCATTCTTCTTTGTATTTCCCTATCTTTTGGGGCAGCTTGAATGCCTTGAAAACTTGGTGTTATAAATTCTAATGAGGTAATACTTGTCTTTTACACCGTGATCACACCCACTGAAAGCATCTGCTAACCCAGCAAAGGCTTATCAGACAGCATTTGAAATTCTACTTTTCTTTTTGCTTTAAAATTGACTGGTGCCAACTTTCCCTCTTTGATTCAGGTGTGAAGCTAGCAGCCCATATATTCGTCCTGTGGGCTACTGCCAAGAAACTGGAACCCCACTGACAACACCACCTGGTATGTTGAAAGTGAGACTTCTTTGCTGCCTCAGTCCAAAATCTTCCTTTTGGAAGCTTTATCTTCCACATAATTACGTATTTGCAAGTTACAGGTTCCATTCAGTACTCTTTTTCTCTACTGACTGAACAATATTATTGTTCATACGTTTTACCACTGCGTTTTACTTTGTTCCATAGCTCTTTCAAAAAATGGAATGGAGTTTGGTAATTTGTAATTCAATTTGATTTCAGAAGGGGAAGAACTTTTAAGTATTAGCAGTGTTTCCTTTAAGGTGAGCTGGAAGAAAGAGGAATCAGTATCATGATTTCATAGATGATAAGATGGAATTTCTGGAAATGAAGGAGTAACTGAAGCCATGTCTCTTTCTGCTGCACTGGAATTCAGTAAATGAAGAGAATGTTGGCAAATGAAAAAGGACAGAACCTACAGGAAAATCAGTGTTATTTTCAGGCCTTGGAAGTGCTCATACACCTTAAAATAAAAATTTAAAAAATGATGCCTGCTGTTTGCTAGATTGACAGCCCTGGAGCAAGAATTTCTGTAATTACTGCATGTCGAGTTTAGTAGAGTGGGTGGTGCTACCAGATCCCTGTGCATTGGAGGAATTAGCCTCTGTGCCTTTGCTGCAGATGCAAAAGGGGTTGTAAACACTTACTCTTCAGCAACACTGCATCTGTTCCTGCTCCTGTAACGTGCAACAAGGCTGTGGCGTGCAGCTCCCCTACTCGTATCGCGATTGCTTGTGCCCCCAGCAGAACCTGCAGTCAGTTCTGATTCTCTGCTGAGAGATTTACGTGCAGCAATTTGTAGACTGTCCTATGCATTTAGTCATTGCACCCTCCTGCTAAACGGAAACAATACTGAGGCTAAAAAGTACTGAAATAGGAAGGGGAAAAAAAAGGCAGAGCAGTTTCTTAAACGTAGCTGCCAGGGAGAGAGATCCCGTTATTGTCAAGAGTAGCACACCCATGTAGGTGTCTGAGATTACGGTAATGGTGATGGAGCCTTTTCTCTCCAGACTGCTAGTTTTACTCAGCTATGGGTGAATAGATAGCAGGAGACGAGAAGTTTCCACAATCTTGCAGGCGCTCACACGTAGAATAGTTAATAAAATAGGAAATTAATTCAGTGATGCCATTGCACATCACAGAATCCTCTGACTAGCTCTTAATTGGCAGCTTTCTCTAGAGAATAAGCATTGATTAAGCTGTCCAGAAATGAACTCTTCAGGTTTTTCAGGTCAGGGTTAAAGCCCTGGGTAGAAGCTAGGGAAACTTGCAGTGCTGTTGTGTGTGCTGTATGAATAAAGAGACCGTTTTCCAGTGCCATCCCATTGTAAGTGCTAAATTAACATCATAGCCACATTTTACATAGATGCTTTTCTGTTGTTTGTAACAATAAATGTGGGGGTTTTCTTAAATGTTAATTTTCTGGGTTTTTTTCAGGATACAAGGATTCCAAAGCCTTCTCGTGGGAGAAATACTTGGAAGAAACTAATTCCCAGGCAGCCCCAGCAAGAGCATTCAAACTGGTTGGTGACTCTTTTTGCTTGTCCTAGATCAGGAGGGTGGGGGAAGCTGCTGTTATCCGCCCTTTCCTGACCATGCCAAGAGGGTGAAACTAGGTTTTTTACTTTGAATTTAAGTTCATCTCTCACTGCTGCTAAAACAAAACACACAGCAGACTACAAGATCTAAAACAACAAAAGCCATGAAAAGCTGCCTTGGAAAGGATTTTTGACTAAACATCTTCCCTTGCTCCGTTAGCAGACTTAAGGGAAGAGCTTTCAGTCCACACAGATCATTGTAGCTTTAGAAGGGGCAGTACCTTGCCTCAGAGAGGGCGTGGACAGGAGGAAGAGCTGGTCCTCTGCTCAAGGTCTGACTGCATATGGGCAAAGGGCATCTCCCAGCTGACATCTGAGCGGGACGGGTGCTGGTTGAACAGGGTCTCCAGATTCTCCCTTCATGGGGGTCGGAAGTGAATGTCACTGGCCTGCAGCTGGGGACGTTTGGCGGGGAAGGGAAGAAGGGGTGTTTGTCTTTGAGGGTAAATGAGAAAGAAGTCTGAAGTTCCTCCGTCAGGTGCCCCCTCCTCATGAAGTTTTCAAAACTTCTCTAAAATATTTTCACCTTGCACTCTAAATCCTTCCCCTGGTTGGTGGGGCTGGAATTAGGGTAGAGTGAGAAGTTCCTATCAAGGACTTACATGTTCTAATATAGATCATCTTGGGAGGAGCCAGCTGTGCCCTCCACAGAAATAAGCCTACTAACAGATGATAGAGCATCTTTGCCAAACTCCTAGATGGAGTAAGATCATCCTACAGACTAAATTGGAAGATGGTTCTCTCAACCTTGGGAGCATGAGCATTTGTTTCTGGTCTGGAATCTCACTGTGAGCAGAAACAAAACAATAGCCTTTAAAATAACTTCATTAAAAAAAGCCCATACTTCAAAGTTGATTTTTTTTTTATTTTATTTTTTTTTAGCAGCTTCTTCCACACTGCTGGGTCACCTTGCTAAACTTTGCAATATATTTAAAAACTTTTCTGTGCCATCGTGACACTTGTCTTGATTCCTTTCAATGAAGTTAGCATTGCAGGTTAATACCTGCTGCCCTCCTGTATATTTTGTTGGTAAGCTCTTTGGGACCAAGAAGGAAAAGCAATCAGGGAGACCTCAGATAAGGGAGGTAAAAATCCAGGCAGACAAGTTTGATAATTGCTAAACCACCTGAAGTTGTTTTAGGTTGGAAGGTGGGTGTCGGGGAATAGGAAGAGGCTGGTTTTGCCTCTTTAGAGAACTGTAAGGCCACAGCTGAAATTATCTGCAGCACAGTTGAACTCCAGAACATCCCTTGGATTAAGGTTTTCCAGACTTGGGCAGACAGCATCTTTGATGGTGCAACGCAGCATGTGAAGCGCCTCGGAGCCAGTGTGCAGGATAATGAGTGATGCTTGTCAGTAGGACATGTTTGTTGCCCCCAGGGTAGGCTCAGCCTTTTTCTGAGCCGTGCTCTAAAATCCCGACAGTACTGGAAAAGAGGAACCTTCAGAATACAAGAGCGAAAGACTGCAGCAATTGGTCTTCTACACAATAGAGGGACAATAGAAGTAGTTTTGTAGAGACAAATATTTTGGAAAGATAATAAAACTCTTCATGATACAAAAAGAAACAGTGGAGCGTGACCTACTTAAAACTCCCAGTCTGAAGTCCTCAGTAATCTGTCATTAGGCATTCTTTCCTCAGATTTTCAGAATATAAAATGTGATGATAAATGTCACCCAAAGATAACAGGGCTTTGCTCAGGGCAGGGAGCCTTTTCAGTACCAAGTACTCCCTTTTTTGGATTCTTCCGAAGTAAAATGTCTTCCCAAGGGAGAATGCAGCTGCCTTGTCTGCCTTTTCTCCTGTTTTACGTACATCTCTGCAGCCATTGTTTTGCTCCTTCAGGTATCTGGCTTTGAGAGAATAGTAGAAGGGCCAATTCTGGCTCTCATGAAACTCCAGAATATAAATTAGCATCCAAGACGAAAATGAGACAGAAAAAAAAAAGAGCATTTGATATATCAACAGTTAATAGAACTCTTTCAAGATCAAACCTCGTTATTTTTCTGGCTTGGTTGGTCTGAAGTGCAAATATGTGGCACAGTTATTGATTTTTTTTTTATTATTATTATTATTCCAGCTAGCAATTACAGGAAATCAGTACATAAAAATATGGGTTGAGAGCCAGAACAGGCATTTCTCACTGAATTAGTTTTTAACAGTTTTCAGGAGCTATCTTATGTAGTCTGGAGACACTGATCATCAGCACAAATAACAGATATTGTGTCCGGATTTCTGCCTTCTCCTCCACCCAAAAATGCAGGAGGAGACAGTTTGGTTGTCAGCATCACTAATTCGGGCCATTGTCTTGGGCTGTAGATTTAAAAACATTCATAAGCTATTGCCAAAAGGCAGAAACCCTTGAGCAAGACTGAAACAAATAGCTCTGCTCATCTTCTGGGCTGGATTTTGTTCCCTAGCACTCAGGCTCCTTCCTCGAGGAAGACGGACAAGGTTGGCTGGTTCAATAAGATGCTCTTAAAACTAAAAGCAGTTTAGATTGTCTGGCTTCCGGTGTGTCGTGTGGCTGAAAGCCTGTGGATAAATGTCTGCATCCAGGGGAAGAGTCCAAAGAGAAACTTGAGGTTTGGAGTCTGTAATCCCCTTAGCTCAGAAGTGGACCTCCTCCCCATCCCCAGCTACTGGCAGTAAAAAGAGTAAGGAAGCCTGTGAGGGAAGAGTGATTATAATCATCTTTTCATTAACTTGATCTTCTTCAAAGACAACGATTTATCATCTCTTGCTAAAATCCTGACCTTTGTGTGCAGAAGTGAAGAAGGATGTGTTTTGAATGAGTATCCAGTCCTCTGTAACCCCCAGCTGAGGAGGTCAGAGGAGGAATTTGCAGTCAGTCATTTAAAGATAAATGGAAAAATTGGTAAACGCCATCTGTTACTTAGAGGTTTACATCCGTGGGTGCTGCAAAGGGCACGCAGTGGGTCAGAGGACATTCTGGGGTTTTTACAAAGGAGTTTGAGAGAAAGGATAAGCTGGCAACTGCAGATGGGAGACTGGTGGCTGGGGCCGCTCTCGAGTCCCAGCACTGCACTTCTCAGCAGTTGCAGTTAACAAGCAGATGCAGTTGTCGTCATAAGAAGTAGGTGGTAACCTGCTTAATGAAGGTAACTGTAATATCCAGATGCCAAGAAGGATGTCACATAGTGCATCGAAGAGAGAAGTCACGTGGTGGTGTGTTTCAAGTGTAAGACAATGGTGAACTGCCTACTGTCCTTGTCAGGTGTGAGATCTGCTGTGTTTGGGAGTTTTGCTGTCACATGGTGGAGTCTGTATGTTGGTGGAGCTTGTGAGGGTATCTGGCCTTTCTTCTGTTAGGGAAGTACCTCTTGCCCTGGCTGTGAAATGCTCCTCTGCACTGAGAAAGCTCAGACTTCCTCTCAAGTAGTTTTGGGCAGCTGACAAGCAGACAGCTTAATCCTCTAGGAAACTCTGATTTTAACCTCTGAAGCAGTCTGCCATGTAAGATCAGGGGTCAAAGATGAAAACTTCAGCGCATTTTATTCAGAGCAGGTGACTAGCTCTGAACGCCTGGACTTCTTAGCATTCTGCTCACAATCCTCTCTTACAGCGTCCTGCTCACGGATTCCAAGTTAATATGAAGTTAGAGGCTGTGGACAGAAGAAATCCCATCTTGATAAGAGTGGCAACAATAGTTGACAAAGATGACCATCGCATTAAGGTATGACCTTGCTTCAAAGTGCAGAGCCCTTGTGCTAAGGAATAGAGTGATTTGCAGTACAGAAAAAATACCCATTTGGTATGAGGAGCTGCAAACAAACGCCTTGCAGATGATCTAGCCTACACGCCTGCCCAAGTGGAAACGATTTCTGTTGTTTTGTCCTGTTATATCTGATGGAATTGCCTGGTATTGTTGGTTACTGTTTTAATGTAACTATTATGAAATAACATTTGACAGCATGATTTTCCATCTCTTAGCGGTTTCTGTGTGATCTGTGTGAGCGAAGGCAGCATTAATGTTCTGCTGCTGGGAAGCTACCTGACAATGTTTTTTTTTCTAGCATATTTAAACAAAAACCCAAAGCAAGCTAAACCCTGGCACGTGTAGGAAGCGGCTTCATTCTCCAGTATCAATTTGTGACATAAATGCATTTTAACTAATTCTTTTCACATTAATATATTGTCAGAAAAATCTGATGTGTTTTGGCTTCTGAGAGATTAAGTATCAGCAACTAAAGTGGAGGCTGCACTGAGGGAGGCTCCTCGGCCACAGGTCTCCAAAGGATGATTATGTGGGCAGGAGTAGCATTCGCTCTCCATCAGCAGAGTTTGTGTCTCAATCTCATCACTGTGATTGCAAGCAAAAGCCAAGTTTTGCCAATATATGGTAGCATGATGCTCAGTTCATACATTTGTTTGAAACTTTTGGCACGTAAACAACCCAGTGGCCTTTAAACTGCTGCGATCCTTGGTCTCTCTTAGCCTGACCTGGATCAGAGCTAACTATTACTACTCCCTTCGCCCAGCAGAAAATTCTAGCTTGTTCACTGCAAAACTCACAGAACTTGTTGGTTTTTATGGTGTTTTGGGATCCTCAGAAAACAAAACAATTGAATAAGCAATTGAGTTTGCATAGATTTAGTCTTTGAGTATAGAGTGTGCTGGAGCACCCCATGGCTTGTGCTTTCTTGCAGACTGTGTGATCTGACTGTGTCACCAGAACCTGGTTGTTCTGTAAAATGTAGATGCAGGGGTCAGGAAAGCAAATAGTTACACTAAGCACAAGATTGTGCTTGACTGAGAGATTGAATGAATCAGCCCCAAGCTGAGCAAGGTGAAACAAAGGGGGAAGTTAAAATAAAAGCTGAGTCATGTCCTTAGCTGTATCTGTCACTGAGACTGTGTGCTTCTTTTAGATACATTTTGATGGTTGGGACCATAATTATGATTTCTGGGTCGATGCAGACAGCCCTGATGTTCATCCAGTAGGCTGGTGTGCAAAAACTGGACACGCTTTGCAAGTCCCTCTAGGTAAAGTAGATGACATCATATTGTTATGTTGAATGATTTTCCTAAGTGCAGCCTGCTCTTTTGATGCAGGAAGCATTTTACAAATCTGCTTAACTTTTTTTTTTTTCTTTTTCTTATTACCAGGTGCTGCTGATCGAGTGGGAACAGTGGGACAAGCGTGTCCTACTCCAGGCTGCCACGGTATCGGTCATGTCAGGGGACCACGATATGGAACACATTATACGTATGTATATGAGATCTGCTTGTAAGGGTTCTGCCTGCCAGAGTCTGACTGCTGTCCATAATAATAATGCAGCAACAAGCACCTGCACTGCACTGAAATTATCTTAGGGTGTTTATTCTGGAGCTAGTTATAACTGCAATTGCAGCTCCCTCTTGTGTCTAAGTGTGTTGTTTCATCATAAATTCTGTTTATACCAGTATAATCATTACAACCGCAATGCAATCCAACATAGATTAATTCACTCCGATTTCTACATTCCGGCATTACTGAAGGAGGTTTTTTTGTGTAAAATAATATACCCAAGAACAGTATGCAAGGAGACAGTTGAAGAGGGAGAGAGTGTGGGTAGATTATTAAAGTTTAAGAGTGAGGAGATCTAGTGCATGTTTTGTGCTCTCCCTTTTGATTTCTTATGTGGTCTTGGAAAAAGAAGGGTTTTCTCAATTAAACTATCTTAAAGAGCAAGAAAACAATCTCAGATGGGAGGTCTGAAGATCTAATAGGTAAAGATCATGTGGTAAAGGCTTTGAATTTTTCAGAGTGAAAGTTGCAGGACTCTCTTGTTTCAAGAAATACTGTTCCGACGAGCAGGTTACAGAGGAAGAGCTCTGAGGTGGCTCTTGAAAAACATGACTTTGGTTTCTAATTCTGCCATGTAGTCCCCTGCTGTCCTGCACCTAAAACTGGGTAACATCTCCCTGAGTGTTTCTGGCCTCACTTTTTCTGGGTTTGTTGGTGGATATGTCCGCTTGAGGCCGGTAAAACTATATGACTTAAAAACGTGCATTGTCATCTCTCTTTTTTCCTTTTTTTCTTTACCACAGGTTGGTTGGCTGCCCGTATTCTGATGTGAACCTCAACAGAGAAAACCTGTTACAGGACCGCCTGAGTGGGGAGAGACCTTCCCCCAGCAGCAGCATGCAGAAAGCCAAGAGGCTGGAGACTCCTGCCCCATTTCTTTTGGGAGCAGGAGAGTCTTCTCAGGAGGACTCTCCACAATCCAGGTGAGCCAAACCCTTTTCTGGGGCAGGTACTGGGGAGCAAAACAATTTGACAAGGCTGAAAACCACAGGAATTGGCAGAGAAGCAGCAGAGCATTGAGTTTGTCTGTCTGTAATATTGACCTGTGCCCCAGACGCTCTTAACACAGAGCAGTGCACTTTTATACCCTCATATGCCTTAATAGGTTTCTTGATTCCTTAATCCTGCTGCTCTGGTCACATTCCAACAAAGGAAATTGCATTGTGTCTCCATAAATTTTTCCTTGCTGTTTCAATTTAAAATATATTCTTTTCCTTCGTTTCCTGGCCTAAAACTGTCAAGAAGGTTATTTTGCACTATTAAACTGTAACTGCAATCCACTCCAGAGTCGGCTGCATTACACTGGTAGGTGTAATGACTATACGTGTATCATTTGGCAAACGAGTTGAGCTCCTTCAGATATTTTATTTTCTTACATGAAAATGTTGGAATTGAGTAGCATTGAAGCAAACTGTGTGTTAGTTCTTGGACTGGGGCAAACTCCAGCAATACTTTTCATCTTTGTTGTATATGAAGGCTTATATACATTTTAAAGTTCATTTATTTGCTTAGATTTATAATGTTTTCAAGACATATTTGGCCAGAAAAAAGGAATCCTCCTCTCCCCTCCTTGGTGTACAGGGCCAAAGTTTGCCTCCTCCCATCCCAAAATATGCAGGCATCTCCATTTCCTAATTTTAACCCCAGAATTGATTGTGTGTCCATTCTCCCAGAATAAATAGCTTCCAAAATTGCAATATATTTCTATTATTCTAAGTATTGAATTTCCTGATAGTGGGAGATCTGAATTCAGTATGCAAATCTGATCACACCCTACTGCTTGTCCTTCCTTGGGCAACTGCGTGGCTCAGTTTATGCATCGAACTCAGTCCTGGATACTCTTAAATGTTATCTGGAGGTATCAAGATGCAAAAATCTTAAATCTCTTGATTTCACTGTAACACATGCTTCATTGGGTTTCTTGTAGCTGCTGGGATCAGAGCCTCAGTCCACAGGGGCTGATTTATTTCACATAATCTCTCAATCCGGGTTGAAGAGGGAAAAAAACACTTTTGTACTGTGCCAGTGATGATGGTGGGGGAGAGGAAGGCTTCTGCCACTAGGTGGTAGTTGTTGCTCTCGCTTGCAAGGAGCAGCCAGCTTTGCTGTCCTGCGGGAAAAGGGAACAGAGGATGTCAATTTAGCTACTATCATTTTTATCTCTCTTTCCAGAAAATCTGCACAAGGCAGTGAAAAGTCATGTCAAAGCAGCGTTCACAGTCTGTCGGAACAGTCTGAAAACAATCAAGAGAGAGACTGGGTAGAAGAGGATTCCTCTGCAGACATCACAGCCAAACCAAAAAAGTAAATAAGATTTTTGTGATGAATTTTCATGCATTAACAGTTGTGTTTCTTGATGCTGCTGCTAAATCTGAAATACAGATGTAAATCATAACTTAAAACAGCCCAATTTGATCAGAGATTTGCAGCATTGGGTTTTAGAATGACATGGTAAATCTCCTCCCTTCCTCCCATTGTTTTGGGCCCTTTCTTTCCTGCAGTGAACTCAAATCTGAGTTTTAGCCATGAATTTGATAGCACAGTGCTTAGCTTAGAGAGAAAGGTCAGGAACAGAGCAGTGCTATTGCTTATTTTAAGAGGGAGAAGGTTTTGATTCCTAAAAGTGCCATTATTCTCTGTGTAGAGAAGAAATTCTGTCAATTTGTGTATCTTTTGTAATGTTTTGTAATTGATGTTTTCAGGCTTGGGTGCTCACATGCCTATATCAAGTTCCAGTTGGTGAAACAGGAAAACAATGGCAAAGGTTGGTAAAATTTTATTTCTTTTTCCTTGTGTGTGTATATATGTGCAATATACCACAGTCACAAGAAGCATTTAAAACTTTACAGTTTTTTTGTCTTTGATTCCACAGTCAAGAGCAAGCACATGCTGGAGGTGATGGTAAGGGTAGTCTTTCTTCCTTTAAAATGAGGAGGAAGGGTAAAATTACTTAGAAATGAAATGTTTAATACTTTGTAGAGTGAAGCTTCATATTTATTAACTGAGAAGACAAGCTTGCACCATCCGTGTACCACTGCATGCTCTTCTGAAGTGGCAAGGGGTTTTTGTTCCCCAAGCAGTTGATGACCATTTTGCTGACAGGGCCCGCAGAGGTGGCAACAGAAACTTGCTCAAAACCTGGCAGATAGTTTAAGTTCCATCAACTTGTTTCTTTAGACCCCGCTGGGTATTCAGAAACATAATTAGAATCATTTTGGGTGGTGACTTTCTTAAGGTTCTCCTAAGGATGACAAATAAAAAATTAAATGGAAAAACAATGCCTTTTTTTTCTGGTACGTGACAGGTTAAGTTTTAAAAGAAGCTTTCTGATATCACTTTAGCAAACCATATGCTTAACTTTCAGATTTACTATAAAAAGCTATTTCAGAGAACCAAGCTGACCAGGCTTTTAGGAGGATTTAACATGGTAATAAGTCTCCAATCAAAAATAGCTAAGCAGGCACAAACTGGGACAGGTGCCTAGATTTTTTTTTCTTTTTTTTTTTTCCCCATACTCATTTTTACCTAGTGCTGACTTCCACAGTCAGAGCCAGAGAAGTCTGCCAGCTATGAGCTGCAGTTGCAGCTGGCAGGGAAAGCTGTCTGCTCTCCTTTTGCATTCACCTTAAACAGAACGATGAAAATCAGTGGAGGGAAATTCTGCAATAATCCACTGACCTGTAATTTCACGATTACCCAGAGCTTTCATCCCAGCTGTATTTAAACTATTAGAACACTGCTTCCTTCTCAAAGGGAAAGTCATTTGTTTAGATCGTGGTTTGGATGCTTACCCCAAGGATCTGGGCTGAGTGAAGAAAAGGAGATGGTCTGTGATAGCAACTTTGCCCACCAACAGGGACGTGGCAGGACGTAAAACCTTGGGCACAAATGGGACCTCCTGCAGCAGGGAGGGGGGGCAAGGCCAGCTGCTGCCCTGCCTCTGGGGAGGTGACAGCCCTCCCAGGAGCAGCGTCCTCTGCCCTGTTGGCACCAGGAGCTCCCGAACCGAGCAGTTCTTGCTCAGGCTTTAGTTTTTTTTAAATCCTCCCTCTTTGGTCTCACTGTTAGAAAGAGAGAGCTGTGTTTGATGCTGTCCCACATCCTTTAGGAGGTGGAGACAAGGTAAGGTGACACAGGGGACAGGGGAGTGACCTTTCCTAGATCAGGCTCTACCTCCAGTGCTGCTTTCACTTTGGCTGGTGAGGAACAGGCAAATCACAGAAATGTGCTTTTTCTTTACAATTTGTGCTTTCCATGTAGTGACTGGCACACCCCGCAGCTCCTTACACACCATCCTACTAACAGCCGTTTGTGCTAACGCTGAGCAAACCCAGCAGAGGCGAGCGGCAGGCAGCCGTGCGGGCGCTGGGCATGCCGAACCTTTCTGAGGGCTGGAAATAATGGGAATTTTGTACGGTTGCCACGGGATGGCGCCGGGCAGCCTGCACCCCCCGTGTACAGCCTGCCAGGCGGGGGGCGAGCAGACAGCACACGGTAACTGCTGTAAACCAGAGGAATGTTTCCCATCTTGTTTCCATCCTCTGCTTTGCTTCCTGTTGTATAACCAGGCAAGTCCCTGTAGGACTATGACTCTGCACTACTCGAGTGATCTCATTAGGGAGGAGTGATTTCTTCCCTTTTTTTTTTTTTTTTCCTTGATTTTTAAAGCTTCTGTCACTTGACACATGAGGAGCGAGTTGATGTCTGGAGGTAACGTGCAGCACTCCTGGCCTGCGAGTCTCCTGGGGAGGCGGCGAGCCCAGGCCATCAGCTGGCACGCATATCACTGTTCACAGGCTGGCTACAGCTGTGAGCTGGAACAATGCCATTAGTTTCCAGCTGAAGATGCTGTTACCAGAACTCCTCCACCTTGTCAATAAAACGCTGCAAACATCTTCTCTGTTAGCAGCATGACATCATTTTCCAGGGAAGAAGCTAACGATAAAGCCTCCAGCCTGGCAGTCTTATCTTATCTTTTTTTTTTTTCTTTCTCCTTCTCAGGAGGGTGGGAAGAACGCCCTGAGAGCTCAGTGTGCCATGCAGTAACCGTGCCTGGCTGTCTGCTCGCCGTGCCTTGCTTTTCCCTCCAGAGTGTGACCCTTCCTCCTGCTTTGTTGTAATTGCTTTTACTTGAAACCCCACTCTGACTTGCCTCGTTTCCTTTTCCAGACCCTGATTTGGATCTCCAGCAGGCCCTCCACCAATCCATCTTCATGCCTTCCCTGGCCTCTAACCCGACCCACCGCCTCCATCTCTGCTGGGAGCAGCACTGCAAGCTCTTGCCAGAGGTCTCGGGCCTCACAGCCAAACACGTGGCCAAATGGACTGTGGAAGAGGTGAGTTACCTGTTCCCTGCTCTGCTCTCTTGGGGTGCGGGAATGACAGAGCCCTCCTCTTCTGGAGCACTAATTGGAAGACATCTTTATTTTTTTCTTTTCCTAGGCAATGCTTTTCTGTTTTCTTTGTATATGCCATAGCTGACTCAGCTTGAAGTTATACCCAAGTCCTTTTATAAGGGAGGGGAAGGATCCCTATTAACCCTCTGCTGTCCATGGCTTCCCTCCCTTTCTTTTGTTTATTTACCCCTTGATCTTTTAGTCCTCAGGCCTGAAACATGATTCTGACAGCAGATTCTGTTTCTCTCTGATCTCCCTCCCCCTCTCCTGTGACTTTGCTGCTGATTCACTTTTACATTGCAGATAATTCCAAACTGCACTGTGCATGCCCACTCCTCCTGCGTCTCCCTGCCTCATTCCCCTGGAACAAAACTGCCCACAGCCTGACCTGATTTCTGAATTTCTGACAGAGGTAGCTGTGCAGCTGGGGATGTGTCTCTGCAGTTCTAGCTCTTGAGATGTCTCCTGTAATTAGATGGTGTGTGAAAAAGCCGGTATCTTTTGTGTGCTGAGTAGTTGGGTTTTGCCTCGATGCCTTGGGCATAAATAATATTTGTATTGCCGCTTGGGAAGTGGTGACAATTTGGATCCTGGCACTTAATCGCAGGCCATTTAATTCAAGAGAAATGTGCTGTAATGTTGCGCTTGCAAGGAAGTAGGTAACCTGCAAAGCAGGAAAAAGGTGTTGTTCTTCATGATGCATAGAGGATCTTCAGAGACTTTTAGTGCATTTTCCTAAGTGCCTCTTACATCAGATAAATCCAATCTTGACTTCACTCTTCATGCTGGAGGACTGCTAGCAGCTCAGTGGGATCGCAGTATCACAGGAGATGGGAACCACAACAGTTGTGAAGGGGGTAGAGCAATTAGTGTAGCTGTTCTAAAACGTGTTCCTTCTTTCTGTTGTGGATTGGAGGGTTTTTTGGTAATGAAAATGTGTTTGAATTAAATTCATAGCAAGGAGAAAAAAAATCTGAAAGATTCCTGTTCGTATCCTTTGTTTGAGAAAGCTTCCAATGATTTTTCCAAAAGGTTTTTTAGAAAATCAATAAGAAGCAGTTAATCCTCAGACATGAAAATCAGAATCTCTTCTCTCTTGGATAAAACATGGAGGCTGGTTCATGGAAGAACAGAGTCAGGATACAAGCCAAATAAAATTTGTCCTTTGCAGTTGACCTTTAAAGCAACTGCTGGGTAAATTTAACCGGGATATTCGTTTGATAACAGATGAATGTAAGCAGGGACCACAGGGCATGAATGCAGGGCACTCTGCATATCATGATTCAAACCCCAGAGTACACTGAACTGTGCTCTGTGCTGCAGCCTGAAACAACTGATGAAGTTTTGGCTGCAGTAGGAGTGTGAATGGCACATTAAAACGATCAGTTGCAGCACCACAATGGACTGGCTAAAGTCATTACAGGTTTTGTCTTGAGTTTCAGTAAAGTGGATCTGGTTTTGCAAATTATGTTCATCACAAATTCCCAGAGGAATCCATTTGGCCTCTGTATGAGCACTTGCAGGATCAGCATGTGCAGTGAAACGTAGCCGCAGGTCTGGAAGATGAAAGCAGCAGGACTTTGTGTTTTAGTGACTCCAGAGTAGATTTGATCTGTCGGCATTTGGGCTCCAAACATCTTCCTACAGGGCAAACATTTGCCTTTGGGTTGTGCTTTGAACTGTGCTGCACAAAGGAGGCCATTCTGCTGATCTGAAACAAGAGCAATGGGGGTATAAAATTCTCCTTTGGTTTCAGACTGAAGAACTGTTTTTATTTTATAAAACCCACAGTAAGGAAAAAAATGTTACTTTAATTCTCTGTTGGTTGAGAACAGCTGAAATGGCAGAGCAGCAGCAGCATTTAGGGGCCCTCAAGCTAAAAAACTCTTGGTAACACTGAACAGTCAACAAGAGTAGTTACTTTAATACAGCTTTGCTACTTATTGAAAGCTTCCTGTCATGTTTTCAGAGCACAGCTAGTGAAGGATATTGAATCACAGAAGAACACTAATATGTGCTAGAGTTGCATTGTTCATTAGTTAATCCCGCATCAGATGCTCATAGCTTGGGGGGACTGTCCTTGAGCAAGTGGCTTGTGGGCTACTAAATGCCAGTGAAACCCAGCTCCTCTCTGCATAGTCTCATGAGGCGTTGTCTGTTCTGCTCTAGCTTGATATCACATGGGTGTCGTAGGGGGCTGCCTTCCAACCTTACCAAAAAGGTACACCAATACAGTATGTCACACACATCTGGGATTGCATCAGCACCTTCCATCTGCGTTGCATGGAGTTTCTAAGGTGTTCTCAGAATGACATAAAGCTCTTTTTCAACCTCCTTTCCTTTACCACCATGCAGGTGTAGTGTAGGATGCTTCCACCAGATAGCTGTGTGAGCATTGAGGTTGTTACCAGCAGGATGGGCAGGCAGGCATTCACCTCCTCAAAGGAAAAGCCCTGATCTTCCTGATCCACTCTGCCCCTGACCTGTCCAACACCTCTCCCACGCTCCTCTTCAGCCTTTCCCTTGGTTTGCTGCCACGTTGTGGGGCTGTGGTGGTTTCCTCTAGCCCATGGAGTTACTGTGGTTTGGCCTTGTCCCTCAACTGCCACTTCTTGGTTTGGGGAATCTCCTCCCCCAGCAGTGATGGGCCAGGCTCCATGGAACCCAGGGTCTGGCTCGCATCCCGGGGACCTTCTCTCCTGTCTTCTCTTGCATCCTCCTTCCCTTTCTTTTCTCCATTTCTGGTAAACCCCAGGACTCCTGTTTGTTTGAAAGGCCACTCCGCTCCTGTGGCGCGGAGTGCTTGCAGTGGTACAGATGACTCCAGGGACAGATCAAAGGCCCGTCACTCAGTGTCCGTGACAATAGCCAGCAGCAATTGTGCAGGGAAGGACACAGGAGCAAGGCAAGCTCAGATCTTTCCCCAGAGATCTTTACCAGCCTCTCAGTACTGTATCACTAAAGGGCACTTACTGTCTTGCCCACAGGGTTCCAACTGTCTCTTAAATTCTGGGAGGTACCAGACCCTGCAGAAGGATTTTCATTTGTGTTTTAATTATAAGGGGGCAGGAGGACTGGACACAATGACTCAAAAGGAAAGTAGTGTTTTGTTATTTGTTTATAATAGGAGTTTGCACTTCTACAGAAGAAGATTCAGAGTCACTGCCCGATGGAGATGTGGGTTTTAGGGGTTCCCTTTAAAACGGAGCTGTCCCTACTGGCAAAAGATAAGGGCGAAACATGAGAGGGATGCTCTGCTTCCAGATTACATAACAGAAACAACAGGAGTCAGAGCTGTTCACCAAACATCGGCTTCTGCCAGGGTAGAGCAAAACCAGAAGGCACGCTGACAGCTCCGTGCCTGCGTGGTCGGAACTGGGGAAAGGAATGGATATTAGTCAAGTGGTGGGATCAGCTGGAGATGCCGTGACACGATCTAGGAGAGAGCCTGACAGTCCTGAGTTGAAGGGAAGCTTGTATTTGACAGTGACCCCTCCTAACTGTTTGTCTGTTTGTGTTCATGGAAGAAATGTCACATCTGTAATAACTCAAATGAATATGCCTCGTGAAACAGAGCTGTTCCTGCGAGGGAGCATCCAATTAGCATGAGATGTTTGATCTGATTATGCCTCAATATACAAATCCTCTATGAAGCAGTGAAGCTACAGCTGGAGAAGACAATACATATTAAGTCATCCTCCACTGCGTTCAGGACTGCTCCTCGCACTACTTAGCGTTATATAATGTGATCCAAGGGCTGCTTGCATGTTTCCGGGGAGATTATTCCAAAAGTTAACAGATTTCCTGCTTAGAAAGATTTTCCCTAATGTGAAATGTAAAATTAACTTTTACTGGTTTAATCCTGTCGGTTCCATGGATCCTGTGCACCCACCATGGATTAAATAAAACAAAACCTCCTTTCCTTCCCAGCTCTTCTGTACGTTGATAAACCAGCGGTACTCATTCAGTTGGTTTATCTTGTCTCCTAAAGGCATGTCATCATGGGAAACTGTCTAAATCCTTTTTTTCTTTTTTATTTTACTTTCCAGCAATACCATAGAGAAAGTGAAGTTGTGGATGGGTATAAAACGGTGTAGCCATATACAGCTTTTAATCTGTAAAAATATTGTTGATGTTGTATAAAGATCCTTTTGAGCAATGGAGGAACTGGACTTTTACAGAAAGATCAATGGCCAAAAAGCAATACAGGAAGTATTACGGGTAACCAGAATATGCTTTGCAGGGGTGTTGCAGCAACAACCCAGTCATGTTTTTCGTATATACCCTTCATTAATGAGAGAGTTGTAAGCATTAAAGTTTTAAAAATTCTTGCATATAGAACTCATATACAGAATTAGGACCTTTTTTGCTTGATGATACCCCATTTTAATTATGTGTATTTCTTTTTTCCCAAATGTAATTCCAGGTGGTAAGCTTTATTCAGCGTTTACCTGGTTGCAAAGAACAAGCATCTGTTTTCAGGGAAGAGGTAAGTCAAGTCTGCCCAAATCCTGTGCCACTGGCGGGTCTGATGGCAGCGAGGCGGATTTGTACCCCGTTACTCTGGAGTTACGTGCAGAGAGCACAGGCACGCTCAGATTTGTCGTTAAAGAGCCTGTGGCATTTAGGAGGCAGCTTCAGCATGGAGCTGAATTCCAGCATGGCTAATTGCATTCTGCTGCTTTAAATTTCCCCTGCAGTTCCAATCACTGAGCTTATGCTTAACATCCTGTCTTGGACTATTGTGCAGTGGGTTTGGCATCGTTATAAAGCTGTCCTGTTGGAATGGTGCAACGAAGATCTCATCTGCTCCCTCTAACAAGCACATATGCCTGCTTCTCTTGGTGAGGCTGGCAGTCATAGGGTTTCCCAGGAATCGCTGGCTTTCCCCACGGGCTGAGGTGAGAACAGGAGGGGAACCTTTCCTTGAACAAGCAGCAGTTGGGAAATCAGAGCATCTCCTGCACGCAGTGTGTCCTGTCATCCCTGCCACGTGCGGGCTGGACTCTGTTCCCCGTTTGTGGTGCGTTCACCATGGCTTCTGAGAAGCCTCAGCAGGCACAGGATATGGCTGTCCTGGTTTTTAACACACTTCTTTGCGTGGATTGTAGTCTGTTGAATGCATCAGCTACCAGTTACCTTGCAGGTGTGACTTTGAGGTTCTTTATGAGCCCCTCATTAATTTGCAGAGATATACCTCCCCATCTATCATCACAGCTCTACTGCTCTAATTGTAAGAGCTTGAGGGAAGGGGCTGTACCTTCTCTGTTCTGTGTGGTGCTGAGCGCACCCTCTGTACGGCGGAGAAGCATTGCACATCGTAGCGACTGTAAAGGGCAGGTTTTTAATAGATGACTGCTCCCCAGAGCTGGCTTCCTTTCAGGATGAATCAGGCTGTAGTGCATTTTAGGGGATTTATGTATCTGTATTTTGTTTTCCCTTATTTTAAAAAACACACGCGCAGATGAAATAAAAAGCAAAAGAAATGGAGGCTTGCAAAAAGCACTCTTCACAGTGTAACAATATAGTGGACTGCTGTTTAATTGAATACAGTGGGAATAATGAAATTTATTTGATTGAAGCAGTCTTTTCAGTGTAGCTGAGCATAAAAGGTGCATCCTGATTTCTAGTGAAGATGTATTCAGGGGTGAGAGTTTGCTAGATAAGATGTAACTACCAAATCTTCTAATGAATCCAGCCATTGGCAATGTACTTTATTTCTTCTAGCCGTAATTGAAACGAGTCCTGAACACAGTGTCTGCTGTCTGGTTCAGAGAGCAATAGCCATGTTCTATTTTAATACCTTACTTTCTGCAGCCTCAGAGTATGATTCCCTATGCCAAATGAGAGGGGATTGGGTTGTTTTTCAGGTTTATGCTCAAACCAAATTGTTTGTTTGAAATTAAAACCCTTTTAGCAGTTTGGCTTTGGCCAGAATTCAGGTGTGAATGACAGGACTGCTCAACTCCACCCGCGTTGTCCATTAGCCGTAATCAGGCCTTTGAGTGCTCTCCGTTTAGGATAAATAAATCCCTTGCAGACTTCTCTTGGCAGGGGGGGAGAGGGATAAGTTGCTGCTCACATTAGGAACAAAGAGAACAAATTGTGCACAGAATTTTAAAAACCATCCAAATAAGATGGAACAAAGAAATTAATAATAAAGCACAGGCACTGGTATTGTGCTTGTTTCTAGGTCCAGTTCAGGAAGGTCTGTTTAAAATAAGCATCTTTGAGGCAATGCAGTGAAAATGAAGCAGAGTAATAATATTGCACTCAAAAGCCTTTTGAAACATAGGACTGTTTTCCAGCACTTTTCTGCTACTCTCGACTCTGTATTATTTAATTTAAACAGCAGTCCATTTGTTTCAAGCTATTTTTAACATGTTCATTGCGGTAGTGTAGACTCTAGGCAGCTTGCAAATAAGATACGGGGACATAGTGTGGCCATCCGTGGACTGGGAGCACTGCTGTCATTTCCAGTGTACATACTGGGAGGTGAAGTAACTTGCTAAACGTCTCTGGTGTGGTTAGAGAAGGGGAAACCAAATCCTGGCACCCAGCTCTTTGCTTTAATTATATGTTTGTCCAAGTTTATTCAGTGTATCCTCTTCCACCAGCCATTGACGTCCAAAAAAGTTCTAGTTAGGAAGACCACAGAAATAGAATAGTTGTTATTCTGGATGAGTTGAGTGTCTGGTGTTGTCTGCTGCTCTGGTGAACATCAAGTGAGAGGATGAGATGCTGTCAGTCCCTGTAAATGGACTTTAATGGAATAACTTAGGGAGACACATATTGTTTGTCTGTGTCCATTAATCTTTAGCTTCTTCCCTGCAGCATTTGGGGTTTATATTAATTATATTTGTGTTGTCTCTGTGGATGTTCTTGTAAATCCAAGTAAATTTTTAACCTCTTAAAAAAATATGATTTCACTTGCTGCTACCTAGAGCGTCCTGAATTTTCACAAGGTAGTATGTTTTTCGCTTGCTTACTTTGAATCTAATCAAATATCTCCTTGCTGATGGATTAGGAGAGTGTGTGTGTAAATCCAGGCAGATTACGTGTCTTTACTGTGCTTTGTTTTATATAGCACATGATCTCTTTTACCATGTGCTAAGCAAGCTCATTGAGTGTCATTGAAAACAATTTCACGATAGCCTTCTGTTTCTCCTTTAAAGAGAGACTTGTTGTCTACGGGTGTAGTACGTACTAGTGTTGTGAGAGTAGCCAGATGTTCACATCTCAGGAATTTTTCTCATCTGTAAGGTTTTTAGCAGAGCTGACAAAAAAAAAAAAGAAAAAAGGGTGTTTGGCTTTAAATTTTACCCTGAATGGCTTAACAGGGGTCAAAAAGTCTATGCAATGACAGTATGTAATGAATGCACTAGGAAATGGTGATTTTATATTTCCAATCATTGTAGATCAGTGTAATATATTAATTCTCGGACAGCTGCCTCCTGAAGGCTCGCATTCTGGATTTCCTGATCTAATTTCTGGCCACAGGTTGTGAATAGGCCATAGGATTTTTGACAGTTGTTGGCTTTTTAGAGCAATTACAGTGAATATAAAGCCTCGTGAACCAGCATCCTCCTCATGGTCTCTCCATAAGCCTTGTCCACACTTGGGCTTCTCTATTTCTAGAAGAAGGGCTGTTGGATGAGTCTGAGACCCTTGGAAAGGGCAGCATGCCTGGAAACCTCACAGGGGTGGGGGTACCAGAACTAGGGAGAAATACAAGGTTTCAACCTCCAGACTTGTATTCGTTCCTCAGTTCAAAGTACATTGTTTAATTGAACAACCAGAAATGAGAATCCTGCCTATCTCTTGATGGTAATCTTTTATCTTATGTTGTGTTTCCAACCTCTAGCAGATAGATGGTGAGGCCTTCCTGCTCCTGAACCAGAGCGACATAGTTAAAATACTCAGTATCAAGCTGGGTCCTGCCCTGAAGATCTACAACGCCATTCTCATGTTCAAGTCTGCAGAAGACAACTGAGAAGAGCCCTTTGGCAGAGCCCACGAGGAATTTCCAGGGAGCAGATCTTTGACCTGACAGCATTACAACGTGTCGAACAGGCAGATTGGGACTCAGATGTATTTTAAATAGAACTTATTAAAAATATTTTGAGGACATAAAAATCCTGCCACAGTCTGGAATATGGGGCAGCTTCACTTCCAAGAAGAGGATATTATTATATTTTGTAATTGAATTTGGTTTTGATATATCAATCTCTTTTTGAGATCTAGAAGCAACCTCCGGTTATAAGGGGAATCCAGGGTAACATTGGTGGAGCTGCAATAGCTAGAAGAAAGCTATGAGTGAGACAACTGCTGTGTCCAATGGTAGTGCCTGAAAGAGAGACTGAGTTATCACCAGCATGTTTAATATATTCTGTAGGTATAAAAACTCTTAAGAGAGTAAGAAAATAGGAAAAAGATGCACTTCAGAGCAACTCACCTGTATCCTTCAATGCTGTGACTCAAGAGCTGACCTTTTCCGGACTGATTTTTAAATTCCAGTTTCTCCTCCTGATCCTAGTTGTTCTAATACCCTTGGCTCCTGGGCTGCTTACGCCACAGCAGAAACGTAGCGTGGGCAAAGGGTTTCATTCAGCGATGGCGTGCTTCGTTTCTGGCAACAAGCAAAATGTTCTCGTTCATGTCATCAGAGAGCGGGAAGCAAGCCCTGTGTAGACAGGCTTTGGGTAGGCCAAGAGCTCTCATAAAGATATTTCCCACAGGAGACAAAGATAAATATTCTAGCTGTAATTCTCCCGTCAGTGCTTTTGTGCAACTGCTGTCTGGACCAGGAACATCGTACGGCAAAATGGCGCAATCGGGAGCACTTGGGAATTTGATGGGTTCGTTCTTGTCCTCTCCGCTGTCAGCCAAATGCTAGGAATACAAGGTGGAAACCCAGCAGTGGCCAGCATGTGCGTACAGCTGCAAACAGATTTCCTAGAAACAATTTGCTTTTATTTTTGAATAATTGAAACTCACGAACGCGTAGTGCTTTAGCCTGTTCAGCCTCCAGGTGGGCTTTGATCTCTTCTACCGAAGAGTCGGTGTGCTGTAGCAGCAGGGCACGGCTCCTCTGCCTCTCCAGTGGCAAGGCAGGCAGAGCACACGGGAGTTTGACCAGAGAAATCAGGGTTTGAACAGACAGCAGAACGAACTAAGAATTGCTTCTCAAAAGAGAGTGCTCATCTGCATCGGGGAGGAAGCAGAGCTTGTGGCTTCGTTCCTGTGCATGCAGTCTGGGCTCTCCTGCCAGTAGGGGAGCACGATTATTTCCTGCTCTGCTCGAAGTCAGAGCATAGTTTTATGAACCTGCACTTGGGTCTGTGATGTCCTGGGTGGGAGTTTCCACACCGACACTTCCAGAGCCGTCCTCTGACAATAGCAGCGCTGGGGGAAGTGGTGAGCCCTGCTAGGACTCTGCTCAGTGTTTCCTTCCGTGCCTGGTAGCATGCTAGCTTCTGACTCCTCCTCTGGCCACTCTCCATCCTAGATATTTGGCTGTTCTGGAGTTTAGCTAGAGCTATTTTAGCTAGGGAAGCCTTTTCCAACCCGTCATTTGAAGCTGTCAGGCTGAATCCTGTGTGCGTGAACCCCTCTGAGCGCTGCAGGTGTGCGTACATGGTGCTGCCGCAGGCAGATGTACCATCAGCCTCTGCCCGGGGTTGCATGAATTTCTCAGGGCACTGCATGATGACGTGATCCATCCGTAGGCACCTCCGGCTCCCTCCTGTACTGGCCGTTTTTGTCACTAGTGTTGCTGCCTTAGTCCCAGCCCTGCAGCTTCTCCAAGAGCCATCAGGAACTGAGAACGAACGCGCTGTCCGTGACTGTGTGGTGAGACAGGGACTTGGTCTTCTTTCCCCAATCACTCCGTGTCCTTTGGCCAACCGTCCAGCTGCTGAGAAGGTCCCTGTGACCTGCCTAAAGTAGTAAGTTCCTTAAAATTGTAAATGGATCAGAATCCCCACTGCTGAAGCCATTCAGTCCTGGATTAATATAGAGTGCAATTTGTCTCCATACTTGCTATTTTTGTATAAGATGTTAAGGAGTTTAAACCTTCCACAGAGAAGACATAGGGGTGGTGGGATATTTAATAGCTGAAACATTAAATATCAGCCAGGCAACTGCAGGAGGGTAATGTAATGCAGTGTTAAGGACTGGACAAGATATGTATTTAATTTATTAAAATACATTTTTAGCATGACGACCAGGATATTCACCAAAGAGTCACATTCCTGTATCTCACTCTGCGCATCCAGCATCAGTGTAAAGACTTGAATTGTAAGTGGCATGTCCTGGACTCTGGCACAACTCGCCTTCTAGGCAAAGCAAAATTGTTTCCTGACAACTGGAGCAGAGGATCCGTAGCTGGACTGTTTTGTTCCTGGCTCTCTGCTCACTTGCTAAATAACCCTGAGCCCTTCTTTGCTCCAGTTTCCCCCTCTCTGACACCCAGCCAGGTGGGGTGAGCGCAATTTTGCCTTGTTCTTGTTTCCAGCAAGCAAGTCCTGCCGGATTTTCTGTTGTACCTCCTTCCTTTGGGAAACTGAGTTGGGGGGACAGCAGATTGCCTCCAGCAATAAACCAAAATGTAATATTATTTCATCTCTTTTACTATATATAGATAGAGGATGAAGAGAATTGGTGAAACAAGCAATGGGATTCTAGTCACTGAAATTATTCAAACAGAAGAGAAATCTTTAGTCCTAGGGGCTTCCAAGCCAGCTGGATCAAAGACGAAAATGTGTACTTGGAGTTTGTTCAGTGACTGCAAGAGTAGTGCTTTCAGCAGGGAGGAAGGAGGAACCCTTTTAGGGATAGAAGGAGGAGGAATGTGCTTCTTGTGCCTTTTTTTGTAATCCAATAATTGTCTTTGCAGAGCAAGCAAGAATGTGCACACTTCTATTGCTGACTCCTTTTCCAAATATAGCTATATTCTAATAAAATCAAGCAACTTCACAATAACGCAAGGGCAGAAAGATTTCTAGTGTCTTCACTGGACACATTTAAAATTCCCTAATACTTACAAGACAGAAAAACAAAGAAACCAGCTCATCTTTTAGCCCCAGAACTTAGGAATTCTTTGGTTGCTGATGTCGTTTTGTTTGCGTCGGGGAGCGCCGCTTTCACGTGGGGCTCGGTGACTCCTTTCCGCTGCCAGACTCTGCCTGTACAAACAGCTCTGCCTTTCCCGGTCGAGGCCCGTGTCAAGGTGAGGGGTCTGCAGATGCCTTTGATTGTCTGATGCCTTGTTGTCTAACGTGAAACATGCACTTTGAAGCAGAAAGCCAAAAGTTGTAGCTCTGTGGTGAACAAAGCTGAAACTGGTTAATGCCACCTGGTTTGGGAGGTTTTCATTGTCTGCTGTGTCAGCAGAAACCAGCTGTTGGCCCAGCCGAACCCAGAAGTCACGTAGAAATATAAATATATTCCTTAACAGCAACGTGGATCTGGGAGAACTTCCCATGGGCCAGCAGCACAATTGGGAAGTCTCAGTTCTCAGTTAAAATGGATCTTATTCCTGGATATGTTTTTGTTCCTGTATCCCTGGTTTTGAAATCCAAAGCAATCACGTTTTTCTCTTTCTCTCCTTGGTAGAGAGTCCTGTTAAAATTTTTCTGTGCCATTGCCAGCGATCATCCTTGTAATCCGGTAGCAGCAAATTTCTTCTCTGGGTAATGAATCACATTAAAGTTGGACAGAAACATTCAACAACACTGAGAGCAAAACTCTATAACCAAAGGAAAAAAAACCCCAACATTCAGCCCAGGGGATAAGCTAGTTCAGCTGTAGAAGATTTCCTGCCTGCTACTTTCATGCCCTGCTTAGAGATTTATACCACAGAAAGCTTTAACGTTTTTGACATCCCCTCCGTCATGTGATGAGCCAGCTTATTTTTGAAATTCCTGTTACTTGAACTGGAAACACGTGCAGGGGAAGGGAGCGTGCCCCCGTTGTCTCGGTTCAGCCTCTGAAATGTTTGCCTCTTTTAAACCAAACAAATACTTGAGCTTTTTGACACTAGCCGTGACGTTGCACTCCACTGATGCTTTCTTCTGGAAATGTGAATAAAATTAATATAAGTTCAAACCTGACTCCTCCTGTCCGTGTTCGGCTCCGACCCCGCTGTGTGCTCGCCGGGAAGCTGGGCTGGCTCGCTGCCCTGCGGGGCCATCGCCGGGGCGGGGACCGATGGCCACGGAGGTCCCTGGTTTGGCCCCTTGTTCTCCTCCTCCCAAACCTGGCAGTCAAAGCGCGGGCGGCGTTTTCATCTTTTAGCTCCAGGCCGTGTGCCTGAGCTCTCCTGGGTTCGTACACGGGACAGCACCGAGGCCGTGCCTGAGCCCCCAGCTCCTTGCTGGCAGGGTAGCGTAGTCCCCCGGGGTCTCCCGTGGCAGACCGTCCCTGGGCCCTGCCGTCCTCCTCAAGCAGCTTCTGAAGCCGAGCGTTTAACTACAACTGCCGAGAACTCCTTAGCAGTATGAATCAACGTTAAAACTCTGCATTTTGGGGTCTTTGTGTCTCTTTAATGCCCTATTGGGCTGCTTCAGTGTCCGCCGTAACGATTTTAATTAACTCACCTGAGTGTTTGTTTCTGCTCTAATTGTAATTAGCAGATAAATTGCAAAGCGCTGCGCAGTGTGCCGTCGGTCGGGTTTCCCCCGGGTTCGGGTGGCAGAGGCTTTGGTCCTGATCTTCATGGAGGAGTTTGATGGGGCCGAGGCCGCACCTGCAGCGTGTCGCCCAGCCGAGGGCACGAGGGGACGAGGACACACGGCCACTTGGGCAGCTGACATTAGCAGTCCTTCCAAAACTAAAAATATTGGAGAGCTGGCGCCCGGCCATAATTTCTAAACTATCCCATCATCAGGGTAAACATTTGCTCTCATTGGTTTTTCCCTCCCAAGGTTTTTTTGCTTCTATTTAAACCCCGGCTTGTTTGCTTTTGTTACCGTGATCGGATTCCCAGTCTGG